CCCTGAGCCTGAATCCCCTAAACCTTACCCTGCAACCCTAACCGATGCGGGCTCTCGGGGGTAGCATAGCATCTTGACTTGCACTCGGAGTGTCTGAATGGTAGGCCCTGAGGACCTTAGGAAAACCTAGGGAAACACCGACCCCCTGAACCCTAAAGTGCTTACAATAATGCCGGTTTAACTTAAAGAAAGAACCGAGCACAGTGCACACGATCGCGTGAACCCTACAAAGCTTTCTGTAACGCCGTTTTGACTTAAACAAAGAACCCAGTGCAGCGTAGACTCAGTGTAGGCCAAAATCCTGAACAACATGAGGCCCTTTATAGAGCCCATTGTCACCATTGCATAGCCTACAAACCCACTGTGCAAGAATAACTACGACCACTCTGCAGCGCCCTACTACAGAAACGTAAGACCCCAACCTAACACCCCCTCCAAATCTCTAAACCCGATATACAAAGTTTAACAGCTTAGAAACACCCTACGGAAGACCCCAAGCCCCAAACCCAAACACCTACCCCCCAACTCTCGACCGAGTTTGGGACGCCACGAGGAGGCCTGGGCTAGAGATTGATGCAAGGCCTTGATACATGGTTCCCGTAAGGGTTTAGTCGGTTTAGTGTAGGACTCGAATAATTAGAGCGAATCCTTGGTATGGGGCTGGAGCCGAATCTACTGTACCTACATTAAGAGAACTCGGGGGGAACACCGCTGGTAATCGTTCGGACCCCTGTGACATCGGGAGCTTGTGCCTTCTTGCGGCCTCTGAACAGTCTTCTTGGCGCCGGGGGAACCCAAAACCAAAAACCCTAAGGGCGCGGGGGAAGTCATCTTAGGTTCCCTGGTTTGCTCGGTTTTTTGGGGGGCTTGAGGCTCTTCGAGTTGAAGGGCCCCTAAACCCTAAACCCTACTACGGTTTAGGGGTGACCGTATGGTGGGCTTCGGTGATATTGGGCCCCAGAGTTTCTGTTAAGGCTTGGGGGTTATAGGTATGCCGGCTTCAGGCGTTAGGGGCTTGGGTTTATGAAGTCTGCAAAGCTCGGTAGTAGCAGTTAGTAGCAGAAGTAGAAGGGTTCTACACAGATTTCATTGGGGTGAAGGAGTTTAGGATTTAGGATAACCCTAAACCCTAAATTTCAGGGTTTCAGGCTTGCTGGGTGCCAAGTGAGGGCTGGAAAGTTTCTGTCTTGGCGCCTCGGGTTCCTCGTGCTTGGCCTTTCTGAGACACCTTTCCGTCAATTCTTTAAGGGTTCATGGTGCAGGCGTCTAATGTAGGGGCCGAAATAATTA